TCTTAGCATTCTCTTCTAGACGATCTGTTTGAAATGTGTGTATCTACTTATTATTCTGGTTCCTCTCCATGGAGGAGGTACATCCTACCTGTATCTAGTCAGACATCGTGATTCTTCCCAACTAAGCTAGGATTTCTTTTGGGGTTTCGGTTAATTTATAACTTGTTTATATATCCCCATACATTTAGTCTTCATTTATTAGGCATCTATTATGTACCAGCTCTAAAGCCAGATATTTCAGAAGTGTTTTCTCATACAATCTTCAGAAGTGCCTCCAAGAGAGACATTATTTGCATTTTACAGATGAGGAACCTGAGGCTGTCTCTGAGGTGAGGCATCCTGCCTATATGCTCAGTGTCACAAATCTTTCATTGGAATTCAGGCCTGACTTTAGTCCTCATATTCTTGTCTCCAAACTGGCTCCTCCACTTATAGAAAGAAAACAGGCCAAAATAGTTTCAAGGACTTGTCCAAGGTCACAAGGCAAGCAAGCGGCAGTAATGGTAATGAATTCTAGTCTTCCTCTTCCAGTACATTAGATGTCTCTTTTCTCTTCTTGTAGGAGCTTCCTTCCTACAGAGTTCCCTTCCTACAAGAGGAGAAAAGACTAAAATCTCCCGTTTTCAGTATTCCATAGTCGCTCACATTTGCGGAGTTTTTATTTTCCCAAACACATTTTACCATACTTCTTTATGAGTGTTCTATAACTAACTAGTTCTCTGACAGATATGTATATTTATCTCTCAAACCAGATTCTAAGCTCTTTACAAATACCTATAACAGCAGAACTACTTGCTGATTACTGCATACATTTATCTGCATACATTTATCTCACTGTATTAGTTAGCTATTGCTGTGTAACAAATTATCTCAAAAATCAAGTCACTTAAAACAAAAAGTATTTATTATCCCACAGAATTGTTAAGGGTCAGAAATTCAAGAGCAGCTTAGATGTGTGGTTCTGGCCCACCCCTACAAAGTCTCAGTCAAAATGTCAGCTGGGGTTGCCAATATCTGAACAAGCTTGGATTGGGGCGGGATAGTTTATTTGCAGGCTCACTCATGTTTTGCTGGCAGGCCCCAGCCTTACTGGCTGTTGGCCAGAGGCTTTACTTCCTTGCCACACGAGACTCTCCATAGGGCTGCTGAAAACATGGCAGCTTGCTTTCACTAGAGCAAGTGATGAGAGAGAGCGAGAGACAGACAGAGGGAGAGAAAGATCTCTCTTATGATCTACCTTTAGAAGTCACATACCTCCTCTTCTGCCACATACGATTGGTCACATAGACCAATTCTGGTGCAGTGTAGGAGGGGATTACACAAGTCTTAATACCAGAAGGCAGGAATCACTGGGGACCATCTTTGAAGCTGGTGACCATACTATTTACCCATCACAGTAATCACGTGAAGATAGGAGACTTTATGTCACTGCCTGAAGGTTATATAACTTATAAGAGTAGTGTGGATTCAGATCCAAAGTTAATATACAGACACACTAAATGTCATTTCTGGCACTCCACCTATTCATTCAGCAAATAACAGGTACCAACTATATGCCAGATGGCTTAGGTAAAGCCACATGGTCCATACTATTGTAACATTTACCTTTTGATGGAGGAGACAGATAATAAGCAAAAAGCTAATTAAACACTAATAATATACAGATAATCTCAAACGATGGCTAGATCTCATCTGCCCCTACTCATCCTCAAAGGTACAGGGCATGAAGTCCATGACAGAGGAAGGAATGATGGTAACTGGTAAACCCACTTCATGTACTTAGAAAGCCTTTCCCACAGGCATGGATCAAATCTTACCTTTAATTTGCTGTGTGATGTTGGTCAAGTCCCCTTACCTTCCTGACCCTCAGTTTCCCATCAGCAAATCATCTTGGGGAGAGAGACTATAGGATCTGCAAGTTTGCAAAATGCTTTAACCTGAAGGGAAGTGAGTGTAGTGGACAGAGAACACCAAGCTGGGGCAAGGGAAGCCTGGCTTCACGTTCTCCATTCATGTGCTGAGGAATATGGGGTGATGTCCTCTAACTTTCTGGGCCTCAGTTCTAAAGTAAGGAGGTTAGATCAGCTCTAAGCCCTGCCTTGTTCTATCTTCCTACAACTAGACGTCAGTCAGCCAGTAAATAACAGGACTTCCTACAGCTACACGTCAGTCAGCCAGTAAATGACAGGACTTCCTACAACTAGATGTCAGTCAGTCAGTAAATGACAGGACTTTCTACAACTAGATGTCAGTCAGTCAGTAAATGACAG